TAGGGTTTTCTTTGGGAATGAAGAAAATTGGAAATTGATACAGGTAATAGTTGTACAACATTGTGAATCTACTCAATGCCAATGAATTTTATATATTAAGATGGTTAATTTTATGTTATGTGAATTTCACCTCAGAGAGAGAGAGCGAGTGGATGTGCCATGTAAGAGTTTTGGAGGTAGAGGAGATGCAGGTTATTCCCAAGTCAGAGGAAGCTATAGAGATGCAGCGGTGAGGATGAGGTTGGGAAGCTTAAGGGAACAGGATAAAGCATCAGGACATTGGGTGGGTGATCAAAATGGACCTTAAAATTACCCAGCAAGATGGCAGGACTTGGAGTGGAGTGCAATGAGTGTGAGCAGGTGTCAGGGTCTTCAGAATACACACAGATTGTACCCCAGAGGTTTGTAGATGATGCTGGTAAAGAAGCTTAGAGAGAGTGATACGGTCAGATGCCAGAGGAGAGCAATTTTCCTGGGAGGCTGGGTGCAGGATAACGTTTGGGGAGCTGCTCTGAAGAGAACAAAGAATGATGACCCTTATTCCTTGCCCTGGACACCAGACAGAGATGAATAGTCTCAGAGGGCATTCAAGCTTTAGAGAAAGCAGGCTGTGGGGATAAAGGAAGTTGTTTCACCATGAGATGGAGTTCCACATTAGAATAGAGCTTGTGGGTTAACAATTTTAATGATTTAATGAGTTAAGGTATATCCCTGATGCCACCAATTATATACTCTTAAAAAAAGGAAGATAGAATGAAATTTACAGCAATTAAACAGTTTACAGTCCACATTTATCAACATTGTTACTATAAAAAGTGTAGTTTACTAACATCAGCATGTAGTCCTATGTTATTTAAGAGTGAGTCCTTGAATGGCCATGTCACTATGAAGTGGAATAGCTCCAGATTTATGCCTTATCATCTTTTGATAAACTTACTGGTGCTCAGCAGAGACAAAGCTATTCCAGAATTTGCAGTGCCTAAACACATGGAATCAGCAGATTCTTGGTCTCTAAAGAAACGAGAGTATGTGGTTGGCTCAGTTGGTAGGGCCTGTGACTCTCAATCTCAAGGTCATGAGTTCAAGCCCCATATTGGGCAGATATGAAACTCTTTAGTCTTAAATATTGAAACTAGTCCAGTCTGTTTTGCATGTAGTTGTTTCAGGCAACCGACAAATATTTATTAACTGCCTATGATACTCCTGAAGCCCTGTGGGCAAAAAACAGAACTACGAAATATTGTTGGAAAGATAATATATTCACACAACATTAATTAACACAACACTTCTATTGCACAAGGGTGCATGATTAATGGCCAACTTATAGCTATAGAAAAATGAACATTTCATGATTCATTGTGGCTTAATGAGATCTGAAAAGGCTACATGGAGAAGGTGCCACCAAATCATGGCATGAAAGATATAAAGCTAGTTTCAGGGGAAGGAACGGTGTGAGACTAGGCATGGGGCAGGAAAAGTCTGTGGTATATTTAGTGAGGTTACTTGGGGTGCCTGGCTGGCTCAGTCAGTAGAGCATGCAACTCTTGATCTCGGTGTTCTAAGTTCGAGCCTCAGGTTGGGTATAGAGATTACTTTTAAAAAAAATCTAAAAATAAATAAATAAATAAATAAATAAATAAATAAATAAAAGGATAAGGTTACTACAGTGCAATGTTATGGTTATGGTTCAGTTGGGTTAGGTTGGGATTCAATGATTCTGAACCCTATGGAACTCATTACCGTTTTTAAATAACAAATACTTTGTTTTGCTTCCTTTACTGTATAATATTTTAAAAATGACATACTACTCTGACTATAAAGGGTAAATAGAAGGAGAATAATCTTTAATTAAAAATATGTATTTGATTCTGCTTGTAAGAGGTATATAAAGTAGTCAAGCTTTAAGACACAGAAAGTAGGATGGTTTTTACCAGGGACTGGGGAAGAACAGGAAAAGAGGAGTTGTTCAATAGGTACAATAGAGAGTTTCGATTAAGCAAGATGCAAAGTTCTAGAGATCTGTTGCACAACAATGTGCATATACTCAACACTACTGCAGTGTGCATTTAAAAATAGTTAAGATAATGCATTATGTCATGTGTTTTTTTACTACAATCAAATATGAATTTGTGTTTTCAAAAAAGTTTTTTAATATTTTATTTATTTCTGAGAGAGAGAGAGAGGCAGCATGAGCAGGGGAGGGTCAGAGAGAGAGGGAGACACAGAAGCTGAAACAGGCTCCAGGCTCTGAGCTGTCAACACAGAGCCTGACTCGGAGCTCAAACCCATGAACCGCGAGATCATGACCTGAGCCGAAGTCAGACACTTAGCCGACTGAGCCACCCAGGCACCCCAAAATATGAATTTGAATATGAAAATTGGCTAAGTGGATTTCTTTTCATGTAGTTTGCTCAGGATTCATTGTCTCTACTGTTTCTGAGGATTCATTTTCTATACTAGTTCTGGGAAAGGTGCCTCTTTCACGCTCTCTGTATTCTTTTTTAATCAAATTCATATTAAATGTATATTATACTTTATCATTCGATCCTTGATGACTCTTTTTTTTCCTTAAGATTTTATTTTTAAGTAATCTCTATACCCAATGTGGGGCTTGAACCCACAACCCTGAGATCAAGAGTCACATGTTCCAGAGACTGAACCAGCCAGGCACCCAAGGATTTTTTAAATTCAAATTATTTTAAATTCTTGTCATCTACGGTAGAGATAGGTTGTTTTTTCCCCCCAATAGATCTTGCCTTTTATTTTACTTTCTTGCCTTATTGTCCTGGCTAGAACTTTGAATATCATGTTAAATAGAGGTGGAAATAATGGCCATCTTTGTCTTGTTCCTGATTTTAGGGAAGGAAGCAGTGTCTTTCACCATTAAGTATGTGTGGGTTTCACAGATGCTTTTTATCATATTGAGGAAATTCTCTTTTATTCCAGTTTTTCTTTTAGTGTTTTTAATTGTGGAAAGGTGTTAAATTTTGTTCAATGCCTTATCTATTTCTACTGAAATGATCGTGTGGTTTTTGTCCTTTAATCTAATGATATGGTATATTACATGAACTGATTTTTGCATGTTAAACCAATCTTGCATTCCTGGGAAAAATCTCAGTGGGTCTTGGTGTGTATTTCTTTCACATGTTGCTGGATTCTGTTTCTGTTTCCTAGGGTTTTGTTGAGAATTTTTGCATCTATATTCATAAGAAATATTGATGCTCTACTGTTAAAATGGGACTTAGGGTGTTTCAAATATATGTTACTGCTTCTGCCATCTTTTGAGAATTCTCCATGTGAGTTGTCAAAAAAATTCATTGTTAAAAAAGATTTGTTGGGGAAAGCCCCCAAAGGAGTTGTTTTATCCAAGCTCCCCTCTTTTAAAAAAAGTTTTTTAAATGTTTATTTTTGAGAGAAAGAGAGACAGGATGTGAGTGGGGGAGGGACAGATAAAGAGGGAGACACAGAATCTGAAGCAGGCTCCAGGGCTTGAACTCACAAACCATGAGATCATGACCTGAACAGAAGTTGGGTGCTTAACCGACTGAGCCACCCAGCTGCCCTGCTCCCCTCTTTTTTTATTCAACAAACATTTACTGAGCACTTATGGATTCATTATCAAAAAGTAAATTTATAACTTTAACCCTTTGGTCTCAAAGATGTCACTTACAATACAAGTAGTTAAATCTTTTTTTGTGTTTAGAAGGTCTAACTTCAATCCCATATGTAGCAGCTTGTGTGTCAGTGTAAGATCTGATGATTTTATTTTCATTCAGTCTTAGTTTAGTTTGTTTTGTGAAAGAGAATAATGCAGCTTCGGAAAAGTTAACGGCTCTGGTAAAATCTGTCAGCGCTTTTGCTACAAATGTCAACTTCTATTTGCGTGGTTCTTTATTGTTCTGGTTGTTCCTGCTTGTTACGCAAATCTGTCAAAGAAAATAAGTTAAGTAATAACTAGGAAATAACAGGGCCCGAACTGAACTTGTTCATGTACTAAAACTACTCAGAGAATATCAGGTAGTACCAACTACTGATTTCAAAGAAATTTTATTGAGCAAAAAATTTCTTTGTAAAGACTATTTAGCTCTGAAAGAGGTTTCCTAAAATACTGTCAAGGGAAAATTACTTTAGTTTATTTATCTTTTATGTAGAGATAATACATCTGGTGTTTGCTTGGATTATATAGACTGATAAGCAATTTTACCCAGGGAATACAAATTTTAAAAAGTAAGGTCTCCTGGTGTACAGGGTATTTCTAAAAAAAAATCTGTGTATCTGCATGTGGGGAATACTTGTACCTCTAGTTCCTGACAAAGTCCGTCAGCATGTTTCACATACGTTTACCGCTATTTGCCAGAAACCCAACTAGGTAAAATTTCCACCTTGTATACTAGGAATAGCGGCTGTGCTTTAAACTCTACTTTTGGGAGGGTTTCTTATTTTATGTAAATTTCAACACAATGGAATGACTTCTCTTAAAAAAGAAAAAAAACAAAAAACCCTTTACTCATTCCAGCTCCTCATTCTTCCTACTTTTAAAATAACAGTTGTCATTAACTTGTTGGTGTCGTTTGCAAAAGTAATACAGACGTGATGTAGAAAACGGGGCAAATTCAGTAAAGCATATAAACATGTTGATCCCATCTTTTAGATGACATTTTAGATGAACATTTTTCTTTAAACGGTAATGCAACGTCACGAACTGTTTTGTAAACCGCTTTTTTTTTTCCTCGTTTGCCATTTCTGACTTTTTTACTGAGACTAGTGTCTGCCCTTTCCCCAAAGCCGGTGGGGTCGGTCGCAGCCCCGGCCTCGCAATCTTATTTCTCCCCCTCCCTCGTAAGACAGCAGGAAGCCACCTGGGCCACAGGGCAGCTGCGGGGCCAGCGGCGGCCGGGTCCCTTTAAGAGGCAGGCGCCAGGGGCGGTCCCCTCGCGGATTGGCCGAGCTCGGACCCACGTGGCTGTCCTGGCAGCCGAGGCTGTGGCCCTGCTCCGGAGGCTGCTGCGGCGTTCCCGCGGGGTCCCCGGAAAGGGGAGCGGGTTGACCGATGTACGTGAGGAGGTGCTTGGTGGGCCTTACCTTTAGTACCTGCTACCTGGCTTCTTACCTCACGAACAAGGTGAGGGGGGCGGCCGCGGGGTGGCGGTCATTGCACGTGGGAGCTCGGAGTGCCCACATCGTACGTGGAGCAGATGCAGCCTCCAGCCTTTCACCTGATTTTTCCTGATGGTAGTGGAGAGGAAGCCGGCTCTGTGGAATGCTCATTTAGAAACAGGATTTGCTGGACTGTACTGGCCCTGTTTTCTGTCCTGTAAAGCATCTTTTACATTTCCTGGGACACCAAAAAATTTTTTAAATTTAATTGATTGATTAACTTATTTTAGTGTTTGTTTATTTTTCAGAGGAAGAGAGGGAGAGAGAGGGCGCAAGCGGGAGGACACCGAATTTTTTCATTGGCGAATTCCCAGGAACTTAATTTTGGGTTGTGCCTACTACTTTTCAGGGAAAGGAAGCAATTGGCTCTTGTTCTCTCGCGGAAGGAAGAGTAGAAGAAATCTGACATAACCTGCCTTCTTTTCTGAAACATGCCCCTGTCCTAGAAACCCACAAAGTTCCAGAAGCTTTTATTTTTTTTTTTATTCTTAAAGTTTTATTTATTTAATAATCTCTACACCCAACATGGGACTCAACTCACTACCCTTAGCTGGAGTCAGTTTTTCCAACTGAGTCAGACATGCACACCCCCCACCTCCCCAACCTTTTATTTTTTATTTTATTTTGTAACTTTTTATGTTTATTTATTATTGAGACAGAGAGAGAAACAACATGAAGGGGAGAGGGGCAGAGAGAGAGAGACACAGAATCTGAAGCAGGCTCCAGGCTCTGAGCTGTCAGCACAGAGCCCGACACGGGGCTCGAACCCACGAACCATGAGATCATGACCCGAGCCGAAGTCGGACGCTTAACCAACTGAGCCACCCAGGTGCCCCCCAACCTTTTAAATAGAAGAGATCAATCCATTTCCATGTCCATCATTCCCTCACACCACTGATTGCCAATCCTTTTTTTTTTTTTAATGTTTATTTATTATTGAGAGAGAGACAGAGCCCGAGCAGGGGAGGGGCAGAGAGAGGGGGAGACAGAATCTGAAGCAGGCTCCAGGCTCTGAGCCATCAGCACAGACAGAGCCCATTGTGGGTCTCGATCTATGAACCCTGAGATCATGACATGAGCGAAAGTCAGAGGCTTAACCCATTGAGCCACCCAGGTGCCCCTGCCAATCTTTTTTAAAGTATGTCTCTGTCCCAGACATTTTCACTATATCCAAGAGGTTTTTGTGGAATTATTATTATTATTTTTTTAAATGTTTTATTTATTTCTAGGAGAGAGAGAGAGAGAGACAGCGTGAGCAGGGGAGGGTCAGAGAGAGAGGGAGTCACAGACTGAAACAGGCTCCAGGTTCTGAGCTGGCAGTCAGCACAGAGCCCGACGCGGGGCTCGAACCCACGAACCGCGAGATCATGACCTAAGCGAAAGTCGGACGCTTAACCGACTAAGCCACCCAGGCGCCCCTGTGGAATTATTTTTAAAAATAAAATATAAAGTTAATTTTATTTAAAGTAACGTTATGAAACTTTATAATAAAAAGCCAGAAAAGCAGTGGTGCCATGTTTTTATTTTGTTAGGAGGGAGAAGCTGGCCTTGGATTCAGTACCATGCAGGGAAATATCAGACCTTTGTGGGCCAGAGTGGGGCATCCCCTCTTGTTACAGACGTTGGGCTGGACACCAAGACAAAGTGGTGAGATACGAGGCCCAGAACCACCTTCCCCCACTGTAGGGTCTCCACTGCCCACCCCACTCAAAACCCAAACCTCTCTTGCTTTCTGGAAAAGGATTATTAACCAATAGCATTTCCTCATACCTTCTTTCTTAATGTGAGGACTGTCTTCAGAATACTCAGACGATACACCAGAACCCTGCCAGAATCATTCCTCCTGTCCAGTAGATTTTTAGTTCTGGTGATGGGCGTTTGAAGATCCATTAATACTGCCTTCCCGGGAGACAGGGATGGGTTTGCATCCTGGCTCCACTTAACTTGGTCTTTGGGACTCAAATTTCTCAAAACCCAAGTTTTTTTTTTTTTTTTACTTTAAGATAGGGTTAACAAGTCCTTTTCAAAAGGTCATTGGTTCTGAGGATTAATCAAAACAATATTACTGAGTTGGCTGGCCAAGTGCCCAATATCATGGTAAATAAGGTAAGTGGTAATTACTCTAGAAGAAACGGAAGGAAGGAAAGACAATCTTTTGCATATGATGTGACACAGTAATTTTTAGCTTTTAACAGATTTGTTTCTTCCTCATGGAAAGCTAAACTAAAAGATTTATTTGAGCGCCTTTTCCAGAATATGTGGATTTGTGAAATCCTGGCCTTTTCATTCAACTATTCTAATTTGTCTAGCTAACTTGATGAACATATTGAGAGTATTTTACGTAAAAACAAAATGACCTTCCTTTTATTTCTATATAATCATCAGAAGGGAAAGAATGACAAGTCTTTATGAAAACCCATGAGCCGGGCATTGGTTAAAAAAAACAGAGTAAGCAAAACAATCCAGCAGGCAGATAACACTTAATTCACAGAAATGTATACCCCCTCTGGATGCACATTTGCATCTGTGGCATTATTTTCATATTTATTGGGGTCCCTCACCATTTTATAATCAATGTTATAAAGATTGAGTACCTTCTATGTGCATCATGCCTCAAGGTGCTAGATAAAAAGAAACCAAACTGTCTTGTCCCTAGGAATATCTAACCCAAGTAATAAAAAGTGTAGATTCCCAAACAATAAATACTTTTCCATTTTCGATGAAGGTTTGGAGTGCTTTGGTTTAGGGCTCTTGGGAGCGTTGGAGTAGATCAAAAGCAGAAGAGTAACAGCAGAAGGGCAGAGAGAAGGGGAGGTGAGGAGATTGTACAAAGGGGATGGAAGGGGAGTCGAGAGGAGCTGCAAGCAGATGTGAGGCCCGGGTAGGGGTGGGAGAGGTAGTCTTTCATAATGGGAAGATGGTAGGGACTGTGTAATTCTTAGATGATGCCATTGTTTCAAATAGGACAGTCTGCTTCTTTCTGGCAGCCATGACAGGTTAGCTTGGACCAAGTAGGGGCCAAATGAGTAAGGAAGTGTGCAGTGAGCCCCCCCAGGATATAGTCTCTGCCAAATGATTTTTTCTTTTGAATTAGTGAACATTATTTTGTGTTTACAGATAGGACCCACGTTTCCAGTTTTTAGAAGACTCTAAAACTATTTTCTTTTTTAATGTTTACTTATTTTTGAGAGAGACAGAAAATAACCAGGGGAGGGGCAGGGAGAGAGGGAGGCAGAAGACCTGAAGCAGGCTCTGTGCTGACAGCAGAGAACCCAATGCAGGGCTTGAACCCACGAACCCTGAGATCATAACCTGAGAAGTCAGGTGCTTAACCGACTAAGCCATCCAGGTGCCCCGATGCTAATTTTTAAAATTTTCCTATTTTCAGTGTAGTTATTTCCTCGAACTATTTCCCTCTGTATTGACAAAAAAAATTTATTGAAAAAAACCTCTTGTCTATTTTAGGCTCAGCACCTTCGTGTGTTAAAAGAACAGTCCATTTTAGTTTGAACAGCAAGTGTTTTGGCTCTCCTGGCCCCGTCTGGGTGGCGTGTTCCTCCAGCTTGCCAGAGGTCCTGGCAGTAACCAGGCTTAGGGCCCGGGCAGCCACTGGCCCTTCGTCCCCTCACAGCTATTCAGCTGTCAGCCTGGGGACAAAGTCCACATCTGTTTTCCTTTCAAAGGCTCCCATATTACTCCATCTTTTTCCATGAGAAGCACTCACTGCTGCTCCACCAAATAACCTTGCTCCGAGCAATCCTTTCCAGTGGCCTGAGGAACTGCTGAAAGAATGCATATTAGGACTTAGATTCCATTTGTCAGACATTTCATTTTTCACTGTTCTCATTCTTCTTTAGCAAGGTGAGGTAAGAGCTTCAGCATTTTCTGTCTCCCCCCAAGATATAGGACAAAGCCCAGCATACAATAAACTAAATAAATATTTACTATCTTTGAGAGGGTTGTTAAGGGTGATAGAGCAAATGGCCCGGATGCTCACTTATTAATCCTTTCTCTGTTTTAGGATGAAAATATCAGGGAAAAGTGGGGAGGAGCCCATTGATCTATGTGAATAAACAGACTTTGGGGGAAGAGCACAGGCAATTTGCTGTAATTGTGACATTTAGGCGCTCACGCTAGGAGGCCTCTGTATAGGTTAATCCATGGGAAAGAATAGGTATGTAAATTTACCTAACTCCAGTCCACTCTATTTTTACATCATGTGAAGAATCAGTAGAGTCCTAGCCTAAAGCCTTTAATGGTTTTGAAACTTTACAAAAAGTCTTAGCGTTCAACAGTAGAAAAATAGGAAAAGATACCCAGGAAGACAAAACACAATCCCCTCATTCATGAAGTGTTACAAAAGACATGAAAGAAAAACAAGTTGACCTTAGCCAAGTTGGTTTCAAAAAAATCCTTAAAATGCAAAAGCACAGGGGAAATTATGATGCCTCAGTAGTATTAGTATAAAAACAAAAAACAAAAGCAACCACCTTTAGAATGCAAAAGCCAAAGGCCCCCAAATGGAAGGAAAACAAAGGAAATAAACACTAGAATGCAGTTCTTGCTTGAAGAGAAACAAAGAAGGGGGTTGGAGTTTTAGATAAATCGGACAGTAGATAAAGTGGGTAGCCTCTTGAGAAAAGAGAGTGCGTCCACAGTTTTGTCTGGTTTTCTCGAATGGCTGCAGTTCCAACCTGACACCCCTGGGGCCTGGGAAGTTGCTGGGTGGTTGGGTGGCCACAGCACCAACCCAGCTGCTAATTAGCTGCGGCCTAATTTGCTGATGATACCAGTTCTATTCCATACGGAGAGGTGGTTAGGCTTCCAGTGACCCTGGGGAAAAACAGACCCACTCTTTTTCAGTATGACTTAGAAGGTTATACTAAAGGGTTTTTTGCCCCATGTGTGATTTTGGGGGGAAGGATAAAAGCCTTTTTGAAACTTGAGTGTACTTACATTTTTTCAATAGGGCTTTCTTTGATTATGCAGTGTAGCAATTCTCTAGAATTTGAAAATCTCCATTAATATGCTATTTGTTTTTCAGTATGTCCTGTCTGTTTTGAAATTTACCTACCCTACATTATTCCAAGGGTGAGTATCTTTTATGCTCTTAATACATATATGTGGGACATGCATCATTAAAGTGTTCTTTAAAATATTTGTAATGACTACACAGATTTTTTTTTTTATCAAACAGATATACTGTAATTTATTTAGCCATCCTATTAATGGATATTAAATTCTGTTCCATTTGGGGGGGTATAAAAATAATGTTATCAAACATGCTTCTGTATTCAAGTTTGTCAAACTTTTAGCTATTTCTTTGGGATAGATTCCTATATAAGAAATTTGGGTTAAAGAGTATGAACTCAGTAAGTATTCCTCTTGAATGTTAAGTTCTTTTCCAGAAATGTTTTACCAATTTACGTTGTCACTCATCCTGTATGTGAAAGTTTCTAGAATAAAGTACTCAAACCATGATTCTTTTTTCCTCTCTCTGCTGACTTCATGAGTCCCAAATGGTATCACATTGTATCTTATCATTTCTTAGATTATTCACGAAGTTGGGCAGTTTTCTTATGTTTGCTATCCACTTATATCCCTTTTATCAGTGAATTGTCTATTTGTGCCTTTATTTTTACTGGGGTTTAGTATTTTTCTTCTTATTTTAATGACTTCTTTATATTTGAAGAAATCCAACCACTTGTCCATCATGTTTGTTAGAAATTTCTTTTTTTGCTATTTGTTTGTCCTTTGCCTTTTTATTTTGTTCATAATTATTTTTGATTATTCAAATAGATTTTAAGTGACATCACGGAGAATTTATTGCTGAAACATAGGAATGAAACAACAGAGAGAACTACAGATAAATCTAGCATGTGGTCTTATGCTCGCAGGATGCCATTATTAGAAAGAAGATGGAAGGAAAAAGTGGTGTGGAGCTGGGTCAAAAGTTGAGATGTTGTAGAAGCAGCACTGAGTACTCTGACATTCACATTTCCTTTCCTTTCCCCACCTCATCCTCACTCAAGCTTTTTTTTTTAATTGTTTTATTTTTATATAGACAAATATATTAATGATTGTGATTGGTACCATTACTTTCATGTTTATTCTTCTCCATCACAAGCCCATGCAGATATTCATCTACATTGCATTAAAACTTTATTCAATTCTTAATCATTACCCATTTATTTAAATGTGTGATACAATGTGAAGAAATCATCTGTCCCCTAGTTTCATTTCTATTAGCACTGTTTTTTTAAAGTAATCTCAGTGCCCAACATGGGGCTCAAACTCACAGCCCCCAGATCAAAAGTCGCATGCTCCACCGACTGAGCCAGACAGGCAATGTACATACTAGCCCTGTATTTTATATTTGATTGTATAATCCTTCCTTTTACCTGTGGGTTGTTAATACCACATATAAAGTTATTTTTCTAGGGTCTATTTTTGAGTCTTTATCAACTTTTATGAAAATGGGCTAGTGCTAAGTTGTTTTAATTATAAATTTAAAAATTTTTTAAAAATATTTATTTATTTTTAAGAGAGAGAGAGAGAGAGACAGAGCTCATGCTCTGGGAGGGGGAGGGGAGAGAGAGAGGGAGACACAGAATCTGAAGTGAGCCTTTAGGCTCTGAACTGTCAGCACAGAGCCTGACATGGGGCTCAAACCCACGAACTGTGAAATCATGACCTGAACCAAAGTCAGACGCTTAACCAACTGAGCCACCCAGGTGCCCCTAATTATAATTTTTTTAAACATGTATTTATTTTTGAGAGACAGATAGAGCATAAACAGAGGAGGGTCAGAGAGAGAGGGAGACACAGGATCTGAAGCAGCCTCCAGGCTCTGAGCTGTCAGCACAGAGCGGACGCAGGGCTCAAACCCATGAACAGTGAGATCATGACCTGAGCTGAAGTTGGACGCTTAACTGACTGAGCCACCCAAGTGCCCCTAAATTAATTATTATAGCATTTGAATGTGTCATAGAGCACACCATCCCTCTTTTTTCTTTTCTTTTTTTAATATTACACAAATGTAAAACAAAAAGTAGAAGTTGTGATCTTTGTGAGACAAGGTTCAGGACAAAAATCACTAAGCAAACAAAGAAAGATGTGTTATAATGCATTTAGTAAAAATGAAAGGACACATAATGCTGGAGCATGTAGTTCAAAACAAAAATAAAGTGGTGATGAATCTCTAGCATCTCTAGCCTAAATAGGCCCTCATTATTTGTCAAACAAAAACTGCAGGAATGCTAGGGATATATAGAAACACACAAATAACAGGAGACAAAGTTACTGTTTTTCTATGACAATGCAATTGGACAAACGAAAATATAAAAAGGACATATAATATTTTATATATTAAGAAGTATGTATATACATATATGTGTACCAGAAAGCGAAATAATACAATTAATAAATATCAAACACTACTGCATCTTGAAAATAGAGATTACACCTTCTCAAATGGCCATGCAATATTCACTATGAATAAAACAGCAATAATTTCCCCAAAGTGGCAATTATGCAATCTTAGTGCCCCAAAGCTAGATTTTAATATCAAAACCCCAAAATCCCTATTTACAAATGACTCTTGTACATATAAAAAGGATACTCTTCACTTGTAAGAAAAATGTAATTAAAAACAATATTGAAAAATCATATTTTACCTGTAAGGGTTGCCAAATAAAATTTCAAAATTTGGTACCAGTCCTGGTGAAGATGTAGAAAGCAGGTGCTCTCATACATTGATGATGGGGTGACACATTGGTACGGTATCTGTAAATGGCACTTTGGCCATTTGTAACTAAATTGCAACAGTTTGAATCCTTCAGTTCAGCAATTCCAGTTCTAGGAATTTACCTGAGAGGTTTACTTGCATGTATGTAAGTGAAATATATACTGAGACATAATGCGAAACATTTCAGCTCTGTGACACCAAGCATTTATATTTATTTATTTGTTTTTATTTTTAATTTTTTTAATGTTTTATTTATTTCTGAGAGAGAGAGAGAGTGTGAGCAGGGGAGGTCAGAGAGAGAGGGAGATACAGCATCTGAAGCAGGCTCCAGTCTCTGTGCTGTCAGCACAGAGCCCAACGAGGGGCTCAAACCTGCAAACCGTGAGATCATGACCTGAGCTGAAGTTGGACGCTTAACCGACTGAGCCACCCAGCCTCCCCTATTTATTTTTTATTAAATTGTTTATTTAGAGAGAGAGAGAGAGAGAGAGAGAGAGCATAAGTGTGGGAGAAGAGCAGAGAGAGAGAGAGGGAGAGAGAGAATCCCAAGCAGGCCCAGCACTGCCAGTACAGAGCCCGGCATGGGGCTTGTACCCGTGAAACTGTGAGAGCATGATCTGAGCCAAAATCAAGAGTTGGACGCTTAACCAACTGAGCCACTCCAGCTAGGCATTTGTCATCCCACAGCATCACTAGAAGAAGGGTGAATACAGATAGTTAGAGAGAGAGGCCACATTCACAGAGCTTTTATTATAGTATATTGTTATAACTGTTCTATTTTATTATTGGCTATTGTTGCTAATCTCCTGCTGTGCCTGGTTTATAAGTTAAACTTTGTCATAGGTATGTACGTATAGGAAAAACGTAGTATGTATGTGGTTCAGTGCTACCTGCCGGCTTCAGGCGGCCACGGGGGGTCTTAGAACACACCCCCCACAGGCAAGGGGGGGACCGCTGTATTTCAGTCAGTAAAGCTGGGAGGTTGTTTTCTCTTTTGGTGAATAGGAATCGCTTTCTGGTCCCGACGGGCTTGCTGTTCTCTCCAGGTGGAGATACTTAGGGAACTTAGGTAGGAAAGGAGGATCTCTCCATCTGCATTGCCTTTTCCTCTGTGTGTCTGGGGGTGGGTCAGACGGAATGCACCTCCTCCAGCCAATTGTAAGGTCTGCAAATGGGAGAGTTTTTCTAAAATCTGTTTTGTCACTGGAGAGCCCCCAGTGCCTCGAGCAATGCCTGGCACATAGCAGGTACACGGTAGGGTAGAGTAACTCATTCCACAGATCTTTGCAGGGTTCGCACTATGTGCCAGGCACTGTTTTAGGCACTTGGGATACATCACTGGAGACAAGAAAGATCCCTGCCCTGATGGAGCTTTCTCTTTTCTCCTGCCTGTCCCTTAAATGCACTTGAGTGAGTGGTAGCCTTTATCCAGAAACCTGTGCATTATTCTTGATTCCTTTGTCTCCTTTTTCCCCAACAGCAGGTTAACCACCAGGACCTCCTAAACATCTTCAGAATCTGTCCACCATCTTCATCCAAATTGCTTGGCTCCGCGCCCCCACCCCCCGCCCGCCACTGTCATCTCTCAAATGACTATTGACATTTTGAGCTGGGTAATCCTTTTTCATGGGGGCTGGTCCTGCACATGGTAGGATGTTCACAGCATCCCTGGCTACAACTTACCAGATGCCAGTTAGCAACCCTCCCCTCCTACACCCCCCGTTACGACAACCAAAAATGCCTCCAGATACTGCCAGGTGTCCCCTTGGGGGAAGAGCCATACGGTTGAGTGCCACTGCTCCAGGTCACACTGTTGGAGGGCATGACCCATATCCATCTGCTCTACTTGGCTGGGTCAGTGGAGGTTTCACAAAGGAGGCATAAAACTGGATCTTAGAGGGTGAGCAGATGTTCACAGGGTGGTGGGAGGACACGGTGGGTCAAGAGGGCAGCGCGTGGAGGCTCCTAGAAGTATAAATGACCTGGCACATTCCCGAGGCCGTCGACTGTTCACTATGGCTGGAATGTAGCTGCCTGTGTGGGTGGATGGGAGCTGATCCTGGAGAGGGGTGGGTGCGGGTCCAGGAAGGCTTGTGTGTCACTTGCAAATGACTTTATCCCATAGGCCAGCAGTTATCAACTGTTGTGTTCCAACATGGGGGTGTGTTGTAATCGCTTCCGTGGTGAGGTGTCTCAAGTCATAACTAAAAATAAGGTTTTGAACTCTGAATGATTCACCTAAAATAAAGCAATTAGAGTGAAACAGGGTGAAGTTATTGCCTGCAGTACCCTCTCACTCATTTTGAAGTCTGCTTTGTGCAGTGGGAGAGGCAGGGGCGCTTAATTAATTAATTAATTGATTGATTTTTAGGTTTATTTATTTTGAGGGGGGGGAAAGAGGGAATCCAGAGAGAGAGGGGAGAGAGGGAATCCCAAGCAGGCTCCACACTGTCAGTGCAGAGCCTGATGCAGGGTTCGAGGCCATGAACTGTGAGATCACCACCTGAGCCAAACCAAGGTGCCCCAGGGATGCTTATTTTATAATCTGTGCTCCACTATACTTTGCGTGCAGAGGAAGAATGTCTCACGTGATCCCAAGTGAGTTATGGCAGAAAAGAGGCTGGGAACTGCTGCTGGCCACCTGAAAGGAATCAGTCACCTGATTTTGTTTTGTTTTATTTTGTGTGTGTGTGTGTGTGTGTGTGTGTGTGTGTGTGTGTTTGAGAGAGTGAGATTGAGGGTGCAAGTGAGTGAGGAGCAGAGAGAGAGAGAATCCCAGGAGGAGCGGAGGGAGAGAGAGAGACAGTGGGGCTCATTCAAAGAGGGACTCGTGTTTTTACCGCAATGAGCTGGTGCTCACCCAAAATGAAGCTTGTGTTCACCCAAAGTGGGGCTTGAGCTCACCTGATGTGGAATCAAACTCACGAACCATGAGATCATGACCTGAGCCAAAGTCAGATGCTTAATGACTGAGCCACCCAGGCACCTTTGTTTTTCTGTGTGTGTGTGTGTGTGTGTTTAAAAATGATGCCTTTTTGTTTTATTTTAAATGTTTGTTTATTTTTGAGAGAGAAAGTGGGGGAGGGGCGGAGAGAGGGGGACAGAGGATCTGAAGCGGACTCTGTGATGACAGCACAGAGCCCCATGCAGGGCTAGAACTCAAAAACTGTGAGATCATGACCTGAGCTAAAGTCAGATGCTTAAACGACTGAGCCACCCAGGTGCCCCAAATCAAACATTTTTAAAACAAGTGGCAAAGTGAAGTTTGCATTCTAGAACAAGCCCTTTGGCTGCAGGTAAAGAATGGATGTTGTGAAGCCATCCTAGAGAAAGGGACACCAGTTTGGGGACTGGTACTGGGGTTTAGGTGTGCCATGCCACGATGGGAGCTTGCATTAGGCAGAGGCAGAAGAGATGGGGAAGACTTGGCACTCAAGAACTGTTATGGAGATATGTTCAATAGGCTTTTGCGAGCACATGAAGGAGGTGACTGGAGAAGAGCTAGGATGACATGTAGGCTCTGGTTTGGCTGATTAGGAGTAGAGGAAGATGATCAGGATGAGGAAGGGGAGTTCAGGGTAATGTTTTAGGCAAGTTATTATTGGGCACTTGTGGGGTGTCAGGGTGGCGGTATCTGGGTGGGCATAGGGATTTGGAAATCGTCAGTGCAAGGGCGATGGGAGAAGTTGGGACTGTGGGTGAGAATTTTCAGGAAAAGTCTAGAATAAGAAGAGAAGATTATCAGTGTTAGCACTGAATGGTCCAGCTGGACTTGAGAATAATACAGGTTGGGAAGGAGGGGTCTGGGATGCTGATTAGGAGAGACTGGGAGAAAAGAGTTGCAGGAAGGCTCAGATGTATATACTTGTGTCAGCCAGGGGGTCAGCCAGGGCTGGATTGCTTTTGAGACCTTGGCACTCTCTTAAATTCACATTGGCTTTTATCCTTTTCAGGTGGCAGACATTAATTGGAGGACTTTTGCTTCATGTGTCATGGAAACTGGGCTGGGCTGAGATCAACAGCAGTTCAAGGTAGAACAACATCTTATTTGATTCATGATTCATACCCTGCATTCTCTTCACATTATTTAATCTCTTCTGCTGTTATACTGGGAAACATGGATGTTTACTTGAGTTGCTTGATCTCTTAGTTCCCTTCGAACCTTGAGATTTTAATGCTTTTATAATCACATAGAACTGAAGGAGTATTTTCCTGCTTAGTGATGTTACTAATATAATATTAAAATTATCGAGATACCTAACTTATAACACTGTATTAATTGGGCTTTGTTTTAGCTTATAGGAGCACAATGAATGCATTTTTATTTCTTTATTTTTTGTTTATTAAAATTTTTTTTTCAAAAATTTTTCATTTTCGAAAGACAGAGACAGAGTGTGGGTGGAAGAGGGGCAGAGAGAGAGGGAGATGCAGAATCTGAAGCAGGCTTTAGGCTCTGAGACCTCAGCACAGAGACTGACGTGGGACGTGAACTCATGAACCATAAGATCATGACCTGAGCTGAAGTCGGATGCTTAACCGAATGAGCCACCCAGATGCTCTGATGAATGAGTTTTTAAATCAACTTAAAATTTTTGTAAATTTAAAAATTTGAAGTTACTTACTACTTTACAGAAGAGTTTGAAATAGTACAAATAATTTCCTTATCCTTTACTCATATTCCTCATTATTTTTTTATTAAAAAATTTTTTTAAATGTTTCATTTATTTTTGAGAGAGAGAGAGAGACTGCAGGATCAGGGGAGGGTCAGGGAGAGAGGGAGACACAGAATCTGAAGACAGGCTCCAGGCTCTGAGCTGTCAGCGCACAGCCTGACACAGGGCTCGAACCCACAAACTGTGAGAACATGACCTGAGCTGAAGTTGGCCACTTAACCAACTGAGCCACCCAGGCACCCCCCATATTCCTCATTATTTTACTGTGCTTCTCCTATCATTTTCTCTTTAGGTTTATGTATATATGCATACTGAATATGTATATTTATATATATATATATGAATTTTTTTCTGAACTATAGGAGAGTAAGTTGCAGATTTGAGAGTAAAATGCCTCTTCTAAATTCATAAGTATGTATTTTCTAAGAGGAAGAACATTTTCTTACTTCACTATAGTACAGTAATCAAAATGAGGAAATTAATATTGATGCAATACTATTATCTCATCTATAGACCAAATTCATATTTTTCCAGTTTTCTCAATAATATCCTTTATAACGTACCCCCTCTCCGTCCCCTGCCAAATTCTGATCCAAGGTAGACCTTGTGTGTACAGATCACACATTATAATAGTTGTTATGAATCTCTTAAGACAACTTGTCAAATACATTTAAAAGAAGTCTCCAAAACCGTGACATTTTCTAGCCAAAATTATAATCTGAGTTAGCTATCCACTCCTGCCTCACCTAGATAAATTCTTATGATTCTTCCAGAACATCACACCTCACCTTAAATGATGCACAGAATGAAAAGCAAATGAAGTCAAAGTTTATGTGGACAAGGTAGATGGCCCTACTGAATAATAAGCTGGGTCATTACCTGTATAACATCCTTACCTTCATAAAACGAGGGTACTTACTTTTGAAGATACTTTTATATGTGATACTAAACAGAGGTCTTACTTCATGCTGCATTGTTATGGTGGATGATTCAGTGAGAACTGGGTCTTCATTTAAACAAATAAGTGCCCTTGCACCCCCATGTTTATAGCAGCAAACTAACTGCTATAGCAGCACTATCGACACTAGCCATCGTGTGGAAAGAGCCCACATGTCCATTGACAGATGAATAGATAAAGATGTGTCATATATATGTATATATCTCATTTGCTCATCATTTATATGCACATATATCTGTAGACATATATATCATTCGCTCTTCATTTATATACATATACACACAATGGAATATTACTCAGTGATCAAAAAGAATGTAATCTTGCCATTTGCAACAACGTGGATGGAAGTAGAGTGTATTATGCTAAGCAAAATAAGTCAGTCAGAGAAAGACAAATACCATATGATTTCACTCATATGTGGAATTTAAGATACAAAACAGATGAATATAAGGGAAGGGAAGCAAAAGTAAGATGAAAACAGAAAGGAAGGCAAACCATAAGGACTTTTAAATGCAGAGAACAAACCTAGGGTTGCTAGCAGAGTGTTGGGGGGGGCGATAAATGGGCAAGGGGCATTAAGGAGGACATGTTGGGAAGAGCACTGGGTGTTACGTGTAAGTGATGAATCACTAAGTTCCTGAAATCATTATTGCACTATATGTTAACTAACTTGGATTTAAATTTTAAAAAATGAGTTAATTTTAAAAAATTAAAATAAATATGTGTCTTGAATTCACACGGCCTGTGATAGTTCTAATATTTAGTTAAATAATGAAGCATGTTGATTCCTAATGGTTCCCTTCATTCCTCCACAGAGGCAAGAGATTGGTCTAGAATGTGGGTACCGACTGTCAGATTGTAGACTGGGGTCCACTGGTGCTATCAACATGGCTCCCCTCCTCTGTTTACAATGTCCCTGACTATAATTATCTTGTAATTTCTGATGTGAATTATTTACTTCATAACAGTCTTTTAAACATTACTTTAGCCCTGTTTCCTTAAAAGCTAAGCCATTGTTTCACACTTAAAAAATTTTTTTTGTGGGGCGCCTGGGTGGCTTAGTCGGTTAAGCGTCCGACTTTCACTTAGGTCATGATCTCGCGGTTCGTGGGTTCGAGCCCCGCGTCGGGCTCTATGCTGACTGCCAGCTCAGAGCCTGGAGCCTGTTTCAGTCTGTGACTCCCTCTCTCTCTGATCCTCCCCTGTTCACGCTGTCTCTCTCTCTCTCCTAGAAATAAATAAAACATTTAAAAAGAAAATTTTTTTTGTGAAAAAATACACATAATATAAATTTTATCATTTTTAAACCATTTTTAAGTATACAATTCAGTGGCATTAAGTGCATTCACAATGTTGTACAACCATGACCACCATCTGTTTTCAGAACTTTTCCGTGTTCCCAAACAGAACAAAGAGTAACTCTCCATTCTGCCCTCCTTCCCTAGCCCCTCCTAACCACTGTTCTAGTTTCCATCTCAATGAATTTACCTATTCCGGATACCTCATTTAAGTGGAATCATACAGTATTTGTTCTTTTGTGACTGGTTATTTCACTTAACATAATGTCCTCAGAATTGTTGAATGTGATAGAATCTTCTTCCTCTTTAAGGCTGAATAATATTCCATTGTATGTATACCATAATTTGTTGATCCATTCATCTGTTGATGGAATTCTTCATGCTTTTGCGTTTTGCAAGAGGGGGAGGAGGAATGACTTGTAGAGCTGGGTAAAGTCAAAGACTCTCAAGGTTCATTCCCTGGAAGAAGTGACCCTCCAACAATAGAAATTTGAGATCCACTAGGCACCATTGTCCTTTGAGCTGGCGTGATGCTGGGTTCTATCCATCGCAGATCTGTGGGCATGTCCCCTTTCAGTCCCCCTGCTAAATTCTCAGAGACCTTTTCACTTCTGTCTCCTGCACTTCCTTAGGTGGCTTCACAGCCTTACACAGGATGTCAGCTCGGTTAAGCTCCTTATCAAAGATCCTAGTGTCTTAGTGGAGCTTGTGGTTAATAACTGCCTGCAGAGTGCAGCATTTCCATTTTCCACAGATCCTCAGCAAAGGGGAGTTACCAGATGGCTAGCAGCAATGACCCAGCACCCATGTTCCCTCGTGTATGCCCGGGCTGGGTTTGTATTTCCCATGGTTGCAGTTTCCTACTTGACTTTCTGACTATGTCAGTAGAGAACCGAAGCTTGTCTTTGCTGTGTGACTGTGCACTTGTGTGGAAGTAGCAGAGGTTGGACTCTACTAAAAATCAAAACAGCAGCAGATGGATAGCTTGGAGTCCCAGAGGTCATCGTAGAGTGAGGGTTGTACTGGTGGGGCTGGAGGGTGGTTCCCAAATCAGTATTTAATAACATATGCCATGAGAGCTCATTTAGACCCCTTGTAGCCCGGGGCACAGCAAAATCCAAGATTACCTCTTAAAACAAGTCCCAGAATCTGGCACCACATTTCCTACTTCGCAGAGAGACCGTATCTGCCATGTTGCTCAGTCTCTGGCCATGTCATGGACTCCATTGAGGGACCCCGTGGAATCCATCTCTAAGATTTTTACTCAGCAACCAGTAATCACCAAGTGTTGGATAATGCTTTAGAGGCCTTCTGCCTTGGAAAGATGGTACTGGTTTTCAGCCGCAAGCTTGTCCTTACACCGGCAGCTCTTCTGCCCTTGCCAAACTACTGCAGACTGTCAAAGTGATTTTTCTAGCAGATGTTGAAGCCCTGTGCCATAGGCTATGTTTCCAAAACGTGATCCAGGACACAATGTCTTGATACAAGACATTTGACAGTGAGACCATGGCGCTCTTTACTGGATTCTCGAACCGTTGCTTATGGAATCAGGTGTGATTTCGTTGGAGACATTATGCACCATCCCCCGGTTCCTTTATGACCAGACTATGTTTAAAGAAAAACATTTGTAAAGTAATTTTTAATGTATGTACTGCTTTTTGTTCACTATACCTAAGACAGCAAATTTTTAACTCTCAAGTGTTCAAGGATGAGAAGTTCTAGGTTAATAATGCTATATCACAATGTCTTTGTGACCAGAGATTTCTAACCCATGAAGGAGAAAGCTCCACTCCTTAATTTTCTTTTTAAAAACAAATTTTTTTAATGTCTATTCACTATTTTTTGAGAGAGAGAGAGACAGAGCACGAGCAGAGGAGGGGCAGAGAGATAGGAAGACACTGAATTTGAAGATGGCTCCAGGCTTTGAGATGTTGACACGGGGTTCGAACTCACGGACCGTGCAATCATGACCTGAGCCAAAGTTGGATGCTTAACTGACTGAGCCACCCAGGCACCCCTCCATTCCTTAATTTTCCATTGGGAATCTTTGCTGGAGAACCATAAGACATTTCTCTGATAGGGCGCCCGGCTGTCTCACTCCG